TGAGGCCGGATTCCAGTCTACCCTTCGGCAAAAAACAATAACCGTAAACGTGGCTTGCTGCCAACCGCTGCCAGTAGACAATTGATAAATCGTGTGCCTGTGTATGCACGTGGTAGAACACGAATATTTAAATGCTGCACGTGGACTCGGCCCGCACGCGATTTAAAGCGCGGGAAATGACGCTCGCGCAAGAATGGCCAGCTGTGATCTGTATGGTGTGTAGCTAAGTGCAGTAAATTTAGAGAAATTTTAGTAGAATTCATACGATGACACAAAGTTTTTTATAACAATGGTCTGGGTCTGGGCTAGTGAAAGTTAGGTCAGGGCTAGTGGTTTTCCTCAGTTACTAGCCCGATGGTCTAGTGAAAGTTAGGTCAGGGCTAGTGGTTTTCCTCAGTTACTAGCCCGATGGTCTAGTGACATAAAAAGTTAACGTTGAACCCTGTTAATGTACTTCCATTAGCAGAAGTTGATGTATTAATTTGTTATGAGTTTTCCTTTATTTTACAAAAGTGCCTTGGTGCTCTCAAATTGTGAGAGTTGCCTTGATGCCTTTTAAAATTGACTCGGTGCCCATCCATTTTAGAGAAAATTCAAGGCAATTTCTCACATGCCCCCAAAAAATTGCCTTGCCCCTCTCGTCACTTAATTCGAGGCCTGCCTAACCCTAACTCTAACCATATCAGATAGTTAAACCAGGGTACGTTCTGGTATACCGGACCGTACCCAGGTTACGTTCCGGCAGTACCCTGGGGGACATAGACCCTATGAGCGTTATTGGGACAGAATGGGGCAAACTCCACGACAGATGGCGCTCTCGCTCATGAGCTCAAGCCTCGATCTACCACTGCCACAAACAGATTTCGGTTACAATTTGTAACGCTTTTTCACTACAAGTTTTACAGCAGGCACGTTACTCGTATCCTATGTAATAAGATTTGGACTAATAAAATTTGCCAAGACATTAAAAATCCGACCATTATTTTATGAGAAATTTGATAAAATAGTGATACGAAATAGTGCGCCCATTTATTACTTTCAAATCATTACGCTGTTTACTAAACTAAGTTCACGTGTTTTTTTAATATTTATCATGAATTTTTCGGATGCTTGCCAATATACCCAATTCTCGAACATTGTCGTTGATGCATTTTTGCGTATTCAGCTTAAAACATCTAAATTTGTCCACCAACAAACATGCAAATCATAGAAATTTCTAATGTTTTGTTCGGCGGCGACTTCGCGGCCGTTGGATTGCCATTTGCTGGATTTCCCCGGAGCTCCGCTCACTTGAAAAATAGTGCTAGCATTGTGGCAGTGGTATCTTGAGTGTGCGAAGGTGGGCGCTGCATGCAGTTTGAGAACGGGGTTCATTGAAATTTCGTGAGATCGCATGCAAAATGCATGCGCTGCGAATGCGTCCCGTACGCCGCTATTCGCGCGGAAAAAAAACCGTTCCCTTCTACATGGCTTTACCTTGCTACTGATATGTGTATACATCACTATCACGGGGTGCAAAATTAACGGGTGTCCGGAGTCAAATACTCCCTGATTTACTGTCGGGACTCCCTGATTTGACATATGCAGGAGTCCGTGTGACTCCCTGAAAATTCTGCAATTACTAACTAGTTTGTTCCAGAGCACGGCCTCGCAGAATTACTGTATTTTTTCAGCTAATGTCCAAAGAAAATTTGGCTGACGTGCAACTGCATGAATCTTAAAAATAAGCACATGCGTTATTGTTAATATCTTTAATTTTGAACCTCAGACTGCGGACTCCCTCTTTTTGAGGGTAGGGAGTTCGTTGGACTCCTTTGATCAAAAGTTAATTTTTACCCCTGCTATCATGATAGTGCTGAGGTTGTTTTGACTCAACTTGATTGGCCTCCTCTTCGTGTCCGTTTTATCCATGCTAAATTTATAAGCATCCTTTCTTAAAATTTGTCATGGTCAGGTAAGGATTGGCATTCCCTCTTGCTTAACGAAGCCTGTTCGTTGATCTGTTTATTTGATCAACATTGTCTCTTTTCGTCAGCGATATAGTCCCTTTGACTTTGAAGACGAATATTTATGAGGTTGAGGTATGAGAACATAATGCAATGAACCATTGCAGGATATTTGGTTACACAATAGCTCATTGTTACATAAAAATGTAGTGAAAAAGAGGCCTTGGTAGGCATTACTACTAGGAAATGTTTACATTGGTACTCCTCCAATTTGTCTTGGTACTAGGACTGTCATTGGTATCAAATTATTTCGATTCGATTATTGATATTTTTTTTTTCGATATTTCGATCCGATTCGATCCGATTCGATTTAATAATTGTAAAAATACAATGAGCCGTGAAGTACACGTAAACTCCATGATATTGTGTTCTACTATGATTAACTACGCATTTATCCATCGCTGTGCTTAAATCAACATGCGACTAGTATATATTTACTGAATTCACCAGATTGACCTGGCGTCGCGGCGATGGCGAAGCTAGCAGACATGCTTTTAGCGGTAGACGTATTTTAATTATAGAGAGTCAGTGAGACAGGAACGCACCAGAGACAATAGAAACACCAAGTTATTGATTGTCCTCCTTGCTATGCATGCGCCCTGGAACTACTTTCCGATAATGGCGGCGCCGGCGCTCAGGCTCAAAAATGCTACCCGCGATGGCTCCGCTGGCATAGCATTTTTAGCAAAAAATACAAAAACAAAAAAACAATCGATCGGCTATTTTTCGATTTATTTCGATATCGATATCGGACGCAAATCCATCGCGATTTATCGATGAGGTGGGCATCGATGACAGTCCTACTTGGTACCATAAAATTTTCAATCAAATCAATGCCCACGCCTGCCTTGCTGTAGGGAAAAATCAAATTAGACCCCCCCCCCATTAAATGACGATACATGGGTTTAAAAATTAAATTTCTACCCATATTGCTGAAATACCTGTTCTCTTAGTTTTCTATTTTTGAATAAAATCAAGAGCGTATAAAGAAGCCTTCTTAATACGCTCTTGATAAAATGCATGCACATTTTATCAGCCATCATGTTGTAATAGCACAAAATGCTTCATATTTCAGGGTACCAACTGCTGCAGTATTCGGGGGCGCTTCTGGAGTATCTCTGTTATGGATGTGTGACTGGAAAGTGGTCATGCGCTATGTGCCATACTATGGCAGCAAATTCAGTGAGAAAGACGAAATATGAAGTACATCTCTTGACTAATAAAAAGGTATATCATGTTTTAATGATATTCTAGACACCTTAAACATGTCTTCATATTCACACGTTTTAGAAATGTAAATGGGTTATACTATTTGGTAACTTTAACATTTTAAAGGGATACATTACTCTAGGTTCTTGGGATATTTTCAGTTAAAATAGGATAAAATTACACTACATAAAAAGTTTTACGGTTCAATATACATTTTTAAGTTTAAAAAAAACGTTTTACAACTGACGGCTATACCGTTTCTTACAACGACGGTGGCGCCACTGGAAGCGCATCCACTGAAAAAGTTGCGCAAAGCAACGTTTCGGCTGCAGGCTACAGATCGAGGGTGTCTCTTAATAAATAACTTAAGAGGAGAACTATTGCAATATCTTATAAACGACACTTAGTTTCAGTTATAATATGGACGAATTTGTCCTGAAATAAAAATCGTTCGGTTAAAAATAGCAGTTAGGTATGAATATAATTGCACTTTTGTGATTAGCCCTCGGTCTGTAATGTGAAAAATAAATTGGCAAATGCGCAACTTGGGTGGCAGCACAATTGCGCAGTGTCATGTCAGCAGTCAAAAATATAAAATCATTAAAGATTTCGAAATTCAATATTGTTTTATTATAAACGTGAATGCATGATTATAGAAATTTGTAGGTACTTACTATCATAATATACTCTAAAGTTATAGGGGAAAGTATCCCTTTAAACATTTAGCAATTCATTTAAAGTATAATGTAATCAGTGCTAAAACTGTGACCACTTTACAATGTAGTACTCAATAATAAGTATGGTGCATACCTAAGGCGAGAATTTTTTATTTTGTTGGTTTACAGATCTGCCGACCCGAATTTTCAAGAAAAACAAAAAAAAATAAAAATTGAAAATCTGTATTTTTTTATTCCCGCCGACCTTTTCTCTAAGAAATATGAATAAAAAAATTTAAATGTAAAATACAAAACCATTTCATAAACAAACAGTTTATAATAAAAGTAAAAATAATTACAAGTTAAGTTTTGTTTTCATTTAGGTTTCTTAAAATACTTTAATATCATGTATAACAGTATCACTGTATTTTGACTTTATTTTTTATTTATTTTTACTTTACCGAGTCAACAACAACAACAAAAATTCTGTAAACCAACAAAATAAAAAATGGTTGCCTAATTGTTGATATCATATAATGACATTAAGTTATTGTTATGTATATATGTAGTATTTAATTTATTGGGTCTCACTGATAAAAATGTGATTTGTAGGTTTTATGTGGTCTTTCATCATGGGTAGGAATACAACGACAACAACGAACGGAGAATGGATTGACATGGCATTTTCTATCATCCACCAGCCATCACTGAATGGAGACTATGTTTAGTAAAATCAAGGTTTTCAAGTTCACAAAGATCAGTAAAGAAAAATGTTTGGTTCTCTGTAAAATGAGTTCTTGTATTGCTACTTCAATTGGCCCATGTTGTCCCAGTGTAGTCGTTATTGTTAAAATAAATTATACAGTGTGCAGTAACATTTACTGAAAATAAGTGTTTTGTATAAATTTACGACAAAAATGATGTATCATACTGTATTGGCTAACCAATTATCATGAATGTGAAGGTGCATAAATAATCTCATCAGGTGGTTTCTGTAACAGGCGACATTTATGCAAAAAATACTTTAAAAATCAATCTGATTTTTACAAGCGAAAGTGAATTCATGATAGTTTTGCAACTTTAAACAAACAAACAAATTGTGTGTGGTGCATATGATAATCAGAGCCTACTGCTTTTTCAATTCATAAACAATGTCAAAAATTATCTACATGGATTCTGACTGAACCAGATAAATGCTTCATAGATGTAAATGGATGTGTTAATAAGTGATATCGGAAAGTCCAGCTGTGTGATTTAGGTCATAGAAAAAGGGGGATAAATTGGCCGAGGTGCGCTTAGCTTAGACACTCGTTCGTTTGACATAGTCAAATGCAGCTTGTAGAATCGCATGATCGTCCGTCCGTCCGTCCTGCAGCTTGTAGAATCGCATGATCGTCCGTCCGTCCGTCCGTCCGTGCGAGCGTCCGTCCGTCCGTCCGTCAACAATTGGGCACAAATCTTAACCGCTCGACGTACGGTCACGATATTCGGGACGTGGGGGGGTAATCCGAAAACGAGTTGGGATGTCGAAGCTGGGGGTCAAAGGTCAAAGGTCAAGAGGTGTAAAATAAGGGGGAACATTCACTCCTTAACTTAAAGCCGCACAATGCGCATCCAAACGCTAATTTCT